TAAGCCCGGCCACTATCGACTCAGGGCGGCTTCAATAGCCTCCGCGCACGAGACAGGCACTATAGCGACGGCAGAGCTTAACAAGAGCTGAGAAGTCGTCGTCACACTGTTTGGGTTCCAGGCGCTGGGCCTCTGCCCGTTCGTTAGCAGCACCGGCAGTGGCGGTAGCAGCCCCCATCTCGCCAAAGAGAACCTCAAGCCCCGGTCGTGGTATCCTCGGAGTTGCAAGAACTCGGATTGGGGGATCCAAAGGTACGGACAAAGGAGCGGCATTTTCCGTGTCGTCTCCATCATCTGTCTATCCACGCTGTTTACTAATGCTGATAGCGATCTCATGACTACTGATAGCACTAACTGGGTCAAATGCAGTACGTAGTGTCAGGGTGGAGGCACTTCTAGGTAGTCAGGAGAAATGGGATCGGCACGGCTGTTGCTGCCACGAGGCAGATGGAGTGGAGGATCCATCCGCGTCGACGAGCTCGCCTTGATGTTGCTCCGAATGTTTCACCACCGGAAGTCCCATCGAAGCCCGGGATGCATTCGGCTGTCTCCTGCGATGGCTGCGGGCGCAGCAAGAAGACTGGGCAGAATCGAGTGGCAGCGTCGGGAAATCTCTAGCCTCGCTCGGAGGGCTATGAGTCGTCCCACCACAGTATGACCAGAACATTGTGGTCACTTTCCCGCCGCTGCTCGTGAGGCCCGCTATCGGTCTTAAGACATTGCATCGGAGGAATTGGTGGAGGAACACCACCCCGAGATGCCATTAAACCGGACCCTCACCCGTTTGCTCACCTATCGTCTGATTCGCGGCCACCTGAAACGTATGAGAGGATTTCCCTGGGGACCCTGTTGGCGGACAAGCACGATGCCGGAGTCGGCGTAGTGCTCCGACAACCCCAGTGCAAGGGCAGACGCCACCACATTCTTGGCTGCCCTCCACTGCCGTGATCCTGTTCCTGTTCGAACCACGCCCCGAAGAGACCCATGCCGCTGGCGGGCAGATGTGTGACGTACTCCGGTCGAGTGCGTTGCGCATGTCTCGGATGACACGCCTCTGCAGACGGAGCCGAAGCAAAGGAGCAAGACACCAGCGTCTGAGGGTCAGACACCTTAGATGAAGGCCAACGCCCGGCGCCCTGGTCTGCTCAGCCGCCGCCGGCGATGCGTACTGCTGCGGACCCGGTTAACTCTGTGCCCTCCAAGGAGTGCCGGCGACAGCGAGCGCCGCGCCGTGCATCGATCCAGGTGAGCAACAGGATCCTTTCGCGACAACGCTCATTCAGGTCTGTCCCGTTGTGATCCATGGTGATCATCACGGAAAAGGCCTGCACACCACTGGCCCAAGGTCTCACTGATCATCACAGGGGGTTCCTTCAGATTGGGAACCGGAGATCCTATCCGTAAGGATCGGTGGCCAGCCCCTTGCCCTCTTTTTTTTCAAGAGGGCTTTCAAGGAATCAAGCCGACTCAGTCGATGAGTGGAGAGTTTTGTCTGGTTGAGGGCCGTGAGGTTGCAATCCAGAGAAAGGTTGCCGTCCGAGCGCCAGGACTCCTGTCGCCGGCTCAAAGTGACGAACGACAGGAGAACGATGAGACGGTTCGAACCTCGCTTACAATAGAGGCCCGACGGTGCGTTTTGACCATCTGACTAGCAACTCTGACAGCTCAGATCGAGCTGAGCGCGCCAGTCATGAGCGCTGCCATCGCGTGCACCGCCCCGTAACTAGTCCGAACTCAATGCCGCGTCGCCCTTCTCCCCGGAATGGCGGGACAACGGCAACGGCAGTTTCTGAGCAGCGCCAGTGCCGACCAGTTCGGTCCAACACTACTGAGACCAGTACTTACTCAGGATGGTGTGTACCCTTGAAACCCAACGCAGCCGAAGCGATGCAGGCGAGGGGGTGATTTAGCCTCGCATCGAGACCAAAGGGCCCAAATGAGGATGAACACAAGTCTGTCGCTTTGGTCCCAGCTTCAGAAAGGGTCACCGTGTTGGGCTGGTGCCGACTATACGGCGGCAAAACGGGACGAAGAGACGCGGGGCCCTCATCCACCTCGCAGAACCGAAAGACACGAGGCCCGACACGGCGCGAGTTATCGATTGGGTCCAAGTTCTGCCCAGCACCAAATCACGACTAGCCCAACTGAGTGATCCCCGTTGACTTAGTGCCTTGGGTGATCAAGCCCGCTGTCATGTCCTTCGGGGATGGCAGAGCGTTCACGGATCGACGCAGGTTTCCTCATGCTGCACCATAGTGTCGTTCCTCGGCGTTGCCGTCCAAATCACAACAACAACATCGTGAGATGTCCACTGGCCCTTATTATGAACGCACGTCCGGTCCATTTCAGGAAACGAGATGAACGAGTTTTATGCCCAACGCGCTCGAGCAGACCCTTGACGTGACGCAACGCTACGACCAAGCCAGCCACGTCCGTGTGTCTGCCCTGGTCTTCCTCCTTAGCGGGAGACCAGTGAGACCGGGAACATGCCTGTCCAGCAGTCTGAAGGTCCCGAGAAACCGTAAGCCAGGGCATCGCTGTCGCGGGAGTCATTGCTGAGCAGGGTGTCCCTATTGCCGCGCACGCCACACTCCAGACTAGGCACAAGATGGAGTGCGACGCTCTTCACGCCAACAGCTGTGTTCTAGGGCCTAAGCTAGACATGTCAAAGGACAACCAGGCGCGCGTGCGGCGAACATGGGAAAAGCAATGCAAGCAACATCCCCGCCGGCTTCGGGTCACCGGTCTTCATCTTCTGCTTCTGGCTCCCTTCTCCCTTCTTCTCCACAACTCCACGATTATCCACCAGGCCACGTCTCCGACTCCCCCGACCCATCTCGCCCTCGAGCCGCGGTTGACCTGGCAGGGCAAATCTCCTCTTCAGCACGGGTTCCTGCGTTGCTGTTTTTTGCGGGCGGCGTGGGCTGCGGGAACGGTGATGCAGCACCCAGTCCCAGAGGCATGGATGTACCCTCGTGCATGTTGTTGTTGTTCTTGGTGGTCAGGCCATGGATAATGCGCGAATTGGCACATTGGCTCGGCGGGGAGTATGCTGGCAGCTATGTTGATGCCATATCGCGGCCTGGGTACTGGGAGATTGCGCACGATGTGACAGCACATCGTCATTGCAATCTCGCAGCGTGACCATCGGCACAGCCGACTACCACAATAAACAAACTTCCATATCTATGCCTTTGCCAATTTACACTTTCTCCCATGCAAGCACCTGCAAATCTGGGGTCAGACCCGCCTATCGCACACGAGCTTCCTACCGTAGATGCGTTGGTCGACGGTTACGGTGAACGTGTAGAGAACAAAGAGAAAGAGCTCGAGGTATGCTTAGCAGACGCTGATATTGACACAACTCCATTGCCTGAGCGCGTGAGGATTGACCCTGCATACTGAGCCGGTGATATGTTTCTCGTCACAATAGCAAGGCAACGCCCCCCCCCCCCCCCCCTCCCCCCCTGCCGGCGGTCCCCCCTCCTCTGGGATGATCATCGTGCGAAACAACCCTATCTGCAGGAAGTTGACCCCTTACCCTGGGAGCACACTCGACCGGATGCTGCTCGCTCCCGTCTCACTCGACTCGTGGCTACCATGCAGGAGGTGGAAGGCCGTTGCCAGCCCCGACTTTTGCCTTGCTTGTCGCAGATCATCATCAGTTTGTGCCATCTTGCCAAGGCCCTGGCAGCAGATGTCTCGCCACTTGGGATGACTGTCATCTTTTGCCAAAAAAGCTTATGCCTATGCCACACAGTGACGAGGCAGGCACGTCTCGTTTCAAAGTCTGAGTCGACATGCGTGAGGGAAGGGGGGTGGCCCAGCGTGACACAGAAATGAGCGATCAGCATATCCGTGCCATGGTTCATGACTGGGCGCGTCAAAGTCGCGTTGGGTCATTTCTCTCTTGGCTGGTGATTGCTAGGTCCGGTAGGATAGCCTCTCCCTGAGCCCCATAGCCAACGTGCCGATTCCTTCTCTCGTGGGCCGATTCAGTCGCTGTGCCGCCTGGGTGTATGAACGAAAATCGCGGCTTGAAACCGATGGACCTGGGGGTTAGATCCTCGAGGTCGCATTCTGCCCACACGTCGCGTTTCGTCGCTTGCTCCCTGCTTGGCAGTCGCCTACGTACATGGTCGTCCGCGCGAGTCGGTATGGAACATCACGAGTCCGCGGGGTTTTAAAGCAATTGTGAATAGAGTTTGTGAAGGTTGGTACACTCTTTGGCATTGGTAGGCCCCGTGGCCAGCCTTTCCGGCTCTGTCTGTCTGCGTCTCTCTCTCTCCCTCTCTCCCTCGCTCCCCACAATCTGCCGGGTTCCGCCTGAGGATCTCGTCTCTGTCGACCGAGTTCCAGTTTGCCGTCTTTCGATATGATACATATCCCCACATGACCGAGCGTACAAGGAAATCGTTGCTATTCGTAGCAGTGGACGAGGCTCGCCTCCAAAGTGAGAAGCCTCGTCGTCCGTCGTAGACAGGTTGGGAAATATAGTGGCAAGTGTAATAACAATAAAAGAAAACAGGTTTAAAAAAAAAAATGAACGCCCGTAAATGCTCCCCATGCCGGGGTGGTATTCCCAAAAATAAGCCAAAAGCCAACAGAGTCCGAGAATGAGGGGGAAACGTTCTTCTCGTGCAGCTTTTTTTCCCCCTTGGCCACCCGCGACCCCCCGTCTCGCCTCGGTGGCCGTGGGGGTGAAAGAAAAAAACAGACAAAGAGCAACGTGGTCTCTCTTGTTTTTCCCCCCCTCTGGCTCCCCCTCCTCCCTGCCTGTCCGACCCTGTAAGCCCTTTGAACGCCGCCCTGGCCATCTCGCGATGGATGATAATGATGATTATATACTTGTGGAGAAATTTCCCTCTTCTTTGTTCCGGTGGTCGTAGTCATGATGTCTTGCTCCCGAGCCCCACAGTGCCCACCCGAAGGGCACCCCTCCCTGCCGCCGGGGGGGGGCTCCAGCTTTTTGTCTTCGTCGTCACGTCTCCGCTGCCGAATCAGGAGACGGGCGCCGCGCCGTCGAAGCTGTGGCAGCCGCGCTCGTGGCGCTTCATGTTGCTGCGCACGCTAAAGGCCTTGCCGCAGCCGCCGTGCGGGCACTTGAAGGGCTTCTCGCCGGTGTGGGAGTGCGAGTGGATGCGCAGGCTGCTGGGGCGGGAGAAGGCCTTGTTGCACGTCGGGCAGACGTAGCGGTCCTGGCTCTGGGGGAAGCTGGCGGCGGCCGAGGGCGAGATGTAGTGGTGGTGCTGCCATGGGTTGGGGCCGCCGAGCATCGTCGGCGGGGCCACTGAGGGAGGGAATGCTGCGGGCAGGGGCCTCTGGTAGTAGAGACTGGTAATCTGAGCCTGGGGCGGAGGGTAGAAGGGGACCGGGCCGACAGAGTGGTGGTGCTGCGGTTGCTGATGGTGGGGAGGGAGGTAGGAGGAGGCGGCTGCCGAAGCAGAGGGGTAGTGGGATGAGGCCGGAGGCGGGTAGGGCGTCGTCTGATGGATGGGAAGGCGGGCGGCCGGGGTGTGGGACATGGCGCGTTGGTGTTGGTGGTGGACATCCTCCAGAGGAGGTGTTGTCTCGTAGTAGTAGTTGTGAGGATGGGGTGCCGAGACGGCGGACATCTGGCTGACCGAGCGAGTTGAGGGCGAGTTGTATCCGTCGAATGAAGCATCGGTGCTCATGGGGGGCGTGGGTGGGAAGTTGGCCCGAGTCTGGGAGTGACTGCCCCCATAGTGAGACGAGCTGGGTCTCGTTTCTGGCTTTGCCGAGACGGCCTCTCCTTTGAGAACTGTAGTGGATGGTATCAGAACGTGCTGTTTGTCTCGTATTGCTGCTCCATCCTTACCTTGTTGGTTCTGAGGATGTGTCTCGCTCGTGGGCGAGCCCTGGTCGGCCAGGCCAAGGAGGTTGGAGATGGAGGGGAGAGAGCACTTGGTTGATTCGTCCATGGGGGGCGATGGTGGAGGTTGAGGAACGTAGGCGTACTGTGTCGTCGTGGCTCCTTGGGTGTTGCTGATGTAGTGATGCATGATGTCCGGCACTGGCGCTTTCTGTTGCTTTCCTTGCCGTGATGGTCCCGATTTCTCTTGTTGTGGGGTGCTCGTGGGTAATGTTGCAGTTGCGGAAGACTGTCTTAACACTGGTTCGACTCTGTATAACTCTGCTCGAGAGGTGTCCTGTCCAAATCGTCGTCGAGGTAGCGTGTACTGGCTGTTGAAGGGTATATGATGGTGTATTTTGGGCAGGTGGGTGTATCAAGACAGTGAAGGTGTGCAAATTAGGATCGGGAGTTGTGTAGATTAGACCAAGAACCAGCTGGATGTTGTTTCGT